AAACCAAGGTCTAGGGAAAACATCTGAGCAGGGCCTTCTTCTACAGTGACCCAGGGTATCACGTGGTGAGAATGAGCTGAGCAAGAGAGCTAACCTTATAAAGCAATTAGAACCACACCCTTGGCCACCCATTTAACTATCAACCCATTACTTCATGAAGGGATCAATCTATTTAGTAGGGCACGGTCCTCACAATCTAATAACCTCTTAAAGACCCCACCTATCAAATACTAAAATTGGATTTCCCATACTCTTAACTCTGTCACACTGGAGATAAGTTTCCAATACATGAATGTATGGGGGACAAATTTAACCCATAGCACCCACCTTGGGGATGATGGATTCTAGTTTCTATGGCTTGCCTCAAGGGTGAATGAGGCTGAGAGATGAGGGCAGAAGGAGATCAGAGGAAAAACTATGCTTTTGAGGCTGCTTCACTTTGGGTGTTGCTTTCTGAGTGCAAACACTGGGTTTGCATCTATTCTATCATTTTGTATTTACTTTTATACTTGGGCTCATGCATTCATTGCATACTTACTATGTTGATATCATAGTCAGCATTAACAGATGTCATTTAGCCACATAAATTCCATTTTTACCAGAAATCAGCAAGCAAAGAGTCATTTAAACAATACAAGTGTGGGCCGGCCCGTGGCTCACTCGGGAGAGTACAGTGCTGATAACACGAAGGCCCCGGGTTCGGATCCCATATAGGGATGGCCGGTCTGCTCACTGGCTGAGCGTGGTGCTGACAACACCAAGACAAGGGTTAAGATCCCCTTACCGGTCATCTTTAAAAAAAAAAAAAATTAAACAATACAAGTGTTATCTAAACATACCATCAACACACACATAAACCAGTCACTCCTAGCAACCAGTTTGAAAATGCTTATACTGGTAATTTACTGTGAGAACAACTATTCTTTTGTTGCCCCAGAAATGCTGAACAACTTTCTTTTAAAAATTCCTACTTCAGCTGATTATATAAAAAACTATCTAGTACGGACTGTCAAAAATAACATGTGACCAAGGAAATAAAAAAATTCTAAATCTCCCCAGGTGGAAAAAAATGTGTTAGATGGATAAGGAAGCATATTGTGTGGCAGAATACAGTAGTGGATGGAGGGCTATCAAGAGATCTGAAAAAGTAATTTCATCCATTTGTACCTCATCTGAAAATGTAAGTTTTAACAAGAATCTCAATAAGATTTCAATTCTACAAGTCTATGTTTCAGTCAAAGTGGAATTTCTATTAGAAAAGAGACAAGGAATTAATCTTTCCTAGGAACAAACAAGAGTAAAGAACCGAAACAACAAAAACAAAAGGCAAATAATTGACGATTTATACAAAATGCTGTAATAGCAAATCAGTTAAGGAACTATCACAGTTAGTGGGTGTGTATAAGCAGAAATTAGGAGAAATAAACTTGCCTATACTTTTGCACTATACCTACTATTGTGATATACATTTTTACTAACCAACAAAACTTGTCAAAAGGATTCCATGCTTTCTTCATTAATTGTGATAAATTGTTTTCCATTTGAGCCAGGAGTTGAAGAAATTTATATACACTGAAACAAAATACAGATCAAAGTCTGTTAATAGTGCTAAGAACTTGAGAATATTTGTCATATAAGAGCAAACCCAAGCAAGTCGATTATTAGAAGGAACCAAGTATTATATTCCTCTAAACTCTCCCAAATAAATTTTTATTTTCCTTTTTGTCTTTTTTCGTGACCGGCAATGGATCGCAACCCTAAGTGTCGCGCCCGGACCGGACCGGGACCGGCAACGGGATCACAACCCTCGGTGTCGCGCCCGCACCTCGCTCAGCCAGTGAGCGACCGGTCTGTATATGGGATCCGAACCCTTGGCGGGAGCGCCACCGCGCTCCCAAGCGGCGCACTGTAGCAGTGCACCACCGGGCCGGTCCCCAAATAAATTTTTTTGTGTGTGTCTACCAGTCTATGAGGATCTGAACCCCTTGTGGAGTATGCATAAAGCAAATGTACTTCACAGGGCCTGGTTTTCCAAAGGCTTGCAGCTTCAAATATTGACCTTGCAAAGGACTGGAAATTCTCCCCAGGCTATAGTCTCTGTTGTAAGATAAAGAATTGTAACACAGCAAGGTTGCTGGCTCAAAGACAGACAGGTTACTGATGGATACGTAAAGATACTGGGAAATTGCTGTAGGAAGAGAATGTTTGCTAAAATCAAGCTTTTGTTAGTGGATTGACTTAATTGCATTATAGAA